TCTCTCTCTCTCTCTCTCTCTCTCTCTCTCTCTCTCACACACACACACACGTTCCAATTTCCTCCCAACGAGAAGCTCTCTCTCTCTCTCTCTCTCTCTCTCTCTCTCTCACACACACACACACACACACGCACACACAGAGGTAACGATCTATTGTCGCCGGCATTCCGAAGCACAGCGCGTCGAAGCGGCAGATGATTTACAGAGCAGAGCGAGAGGGAGGAGATGGGAGGAGGACGAACAAAGCAAAGGGCAGCGGGCAAGAGAAAATGAAGAGAGAGATTCTAGCACTGAAAGCGACCGGTAGTTTCTCGTACGGACCGAGTGCTGAAGTCCGAGTCCTAATCTCTTCTTTCATCCCTCCCTCCCTTTCAATCATATGCATACGCCAAGAACGACGCTGAACTTGTGGTGACGGACGTGCCAAGAGAATGAAGCTGCGCGACCTATATCATTTCTGGCATGCTAGGAAAGAACTGCCAACGAACTATATCATTCGCATTTCAGCTTGCTTGCTGGAAATGTGACCGCACGATGGAGCACATGCCCACAAAAGCTGGATCGCAGTTACAGCCTGTTGTATGCTGCGCGTCCCAATCCATCATGCAAGAACGATACGGGCGAGGGAGAGAGAGAGAGAGAGGGAGAGAGAGGGTGCGCGAGAGAGAGAACGATGGCTGGAGAACTGCTGTTGCGGGGAGCAGATGGCAAACGCCGCCATCGCATCATTCGTCTTGTCATACAGATAAATCCCTCGCTCCTACCGACTAATGGAATAGTGACAGGTGGCACGACAGCTCACGTTGTACTCTCACGTCACGTCCCGACATTCCTACGTGGCATTCATACTTGTTCTGGCGGACAGGAGGCATGACTATCCGTGTGGACATTCACACGTGGCATGACTAGCAAGGAATCCGGCATCAACGTGGCATGCACACGTGACATGCACACGTGGCATGCATACGAGGCCTTCACAAGTATTTTATCCGGCCTTCAAATGCAAGGCATACCCGCAAGTCACGCTCCCAGATGCCCCCAGGTGGCTCGCTAGCGTTCACACCGACACAAGCGTGACTCGTGACATTAGGTATAAAAAAATCAGGGGTGACAAGTGGCAATGAAGCGTGACAAGTGGAAATGATGCATGACGTGGTGATGACGCGCGAGACGTGATACGTGTGACACTCTGCACAGCTACCGCTGTCGTGGAACGAAAGGATGCGTCACATGTGGTCATTATGTGATTATGTGTGACACAATCAATCGATGATGATGATGATGATGATGATGATGATGTAGCAGTAGCAGTAGTAGAACTCAACACGCGCAAATCAATCGATGATGATGACGATGGCTATTGTCGAGACACTGCTTGGATCCGGATACAGACACCTAGGCCTCATGAGGAAAAGACCTCAGCGTATCCAAACTGCCACACCTCAATACGCATATTCCTCTCCATCTCTCGCTCCCTCTCCCTCCCCCACCCCCTCTCTCTCCCTCTCCTGCCTATGGAATGCCACACCATTATTTACATTCAACGGCAGCATCGGGGGTCGCGAACAACCCACCGCGTTCACCTTTCAACCCCAGCGCTGTCACACGCAGGAAACGAAAGCGCCCATACTGATCACTCGATCTAGCTCACATATCTGCAGTCAGGAAAAGAAAGCGCCCATACTGCGTAGAGAAGAAAGAGAGAGAGAGAGAGAGAAAGATGCGGGAGAGTGGAAGGGTCCCATTCCCACCGCGACATATACAAGGAGAATAGAAGAAGGTCGTTCCCGTCGATTAGACACAGGGCGAGGAATTGGCTTCAGCTTATCATTATGTTCTGCAGTAAACTGATCGCAGTGGGACGTGCAACCGAAACACGACGAATGTCTTACTGACGAGGTAGGTAGAGTAAGAGAGAGAGAGAGAGGCGACAAATGTGAGACGCTTGATCTTTCTGTTCTCCGCTCCTCTTCCTCTTCTTTTCGTTTGAACGACCATGTCAACTCACCTCCAATCCGCTCCCTTCTATTTACAAAAACATCTACTCCACCTCCCTCTTCCCCTCTCGCTGTATGTGTTGGTATGTCCTCGCAGAGGCGCATGCGCGTGTGTGTGCGCCGCGCAAGCATGTGGACACAGATTGATTGATTGCTTGGTTGTACTAGGACGACAATAGGTAGCGGCACGCCGACGAAAGGACAAACATCGGAAAGACGCATCACCCGCCAACGCCTACCGTACACCTTTCTTTGCCTTCAAACGAAGCTGGGCATCCCACAGTGCACCTCCACCACCACGCCAGACCGCACCAAGCTCTTCCTCCTCGTTCTCAATCTCAAAGGAGAGCGGTATCCTATCCTTCTATTCAATAACTTAATCCCACAGGCAAGGACTGGCACGCTCTTGGGCACGTAGTTACTACCTGGAATGGTACTCCACAAGGCATGCATGTCATCCTCCTCCTCCCCTCCTTTTCGTCCTCCCCCTCCTCTTCCTCCTGTATGTACACCAAACGGCAAATGACCTCGCAAGACACACAACAACAAGCCCTTGCACTCCAAAAGGCATGAATATCCCCCTCATCTACCCCTCCTCTTCCTACTCCTCCGCTCCTCTTCCAACTCCTTCCCTCCTCTTCCAACTCCTTCCCTCCTCTTCCTCTTTCCCTCTTCCTCCTCTACATCGAAAGGCAGACTCTCACTGAGAAATTCATTTCGTTTCCGTGTGTGTACACGCCGTCCTCGATCCTGTGCTCAAATGTCACGTCCGATCTCAATCTGGCCATGTGAGACCATCATGCGCCCCTAGAAGTCATTCGTCACCAGCGCCTGACGGGTCTCCGCTAGGCCCACTCCCAGGAGAAACCCGCATTCTTCATGCCCGTTCAACGGATCACGTCCTGCCGCGATACAAAGGCGGGGGCTAGAGGGGGAGGATGGGGGAAGGAAGAAGGTGAGAGTCGAGCCCGGGTCGGGGAAGGAAAGGGGAGTGTCGAGGGTTTCACGATTTGTCATCACGTAATTGCGCAGGGGAGGAGGAGGCTCGCCAAGTACCGTCCATGCGGAGGGAGGGGAACGGGGTCGTTTGACGGGAAACATGGACAAGGTGGAGGCGGGAGGGGAAAGGAGGACAGGGGTGAAGGCAGGGGAAAAGAGCAAAAGAAGAGCAAGAGAAAAGGGGGCGAAGACGGAGAGGGAAAAGAGAGGAAAGAGGGGTACGAGGTTTCCGGAATGAACTATCACTTTTACACGCACGGCAACAAAATTTCCACACATTCCAACACTTCCACACACACACACACATCCACTTCCACACACACACACACACACACACACACATATCCACTTCCACATACTCCACACAACACGAGCACACACCCACACACGAACATACACGCAGACACGCGCAGCACCAAAGAGAAAGGGGGGGAGAGAGAGAGAGAGAGAGCGAGATTTGAAGTAACCCGGAAGAATAGGCCGTGGTATACAACCCTCTCCTTCGGGGGAGAAGTACCAGATTGTCCGAAGCAATTTCATAAAAAATGAAAAATATACTGTTCAAAAATTACCACTCAACGAAGATATCACAAGATTACGCACAATCCAGACCAGAATATCCACCACTAATTAGGGTTTCGCCAAATGATTAGGGTTTCCAACACCGACTAGGGTTCCGCCACCATACAATGATTAGACGTCGATCAAATCTGGTTAACACCCTAATACAGTATCACAGTAGCAAAAACTCAGTACGGTCCTCGCCATCGCAGCTCCAACTCTCATTAACAGCCTCTTCATGAACGCTTCCTCAACCCATAAGCTCATCGTACATCACCGATCGTACGTCTTCCATCCATTCACTCATTGCGATCATCTCCACCACCATAGTTCCGCTGGGCAAGCAGGAGAACGACCCATGGACCTCTGCCTCGGCAATCGCTTTAACGCTTCTTGGACACACCGACAGTCCTTCCGCGGCGACCGGTCGTCTTCGTATGCTGTCCGCGAACGCGGAGACCCCAGTAGTGACGAAGACCGCGATGGTTCCTGATCTTCTTGAGTCGTTCCAAGTCATCACGCAGCTTCATGTCCAAAGCATTGGCCACTACCTGCGAGTACCTCCCATCCTTGTAATCCTTCTTGCGATTCAGAAACCAGTCCGGGATCTTGAACTGCCTTGGGTTGGCCACGATCACCATAAGATTCTCCAGCTCCGCAGCAGTCAATTCGCCCGCTCTCTTACTCATGTCCACGTCGGCCTTCTTGCACACAAGATTGGCAAACCGCCGCCCCACACCCTTGATCGACGTCAAGGCGTACATGATCTTCTGCCTGCCATCGACGTTAGTATTCAGCACACGAAGAATGTGCTGAAAATCTTCGTTCGCGATCAGCGACATGGCTGACACCTGGCTTTGGCGGTGCTAACAGCAGCGATGGCGATTGCAACAGGAATGGCGATGGCCGCGCCCGACTGCTTAGCGGACGCCGTCGCGAGAAAAGAACCAGTAAAGTGTCCAGTTCCAATTTTACACGGCCTGTGAATTGAGAGTCAAGCCCCATGCGATGCAGGACGGGAAAATTGAGCTTCAAGCCACTTGCGCGAAATGAATCCGGCCCAAATAGCGGTTGTATTCGTTCGCGATTTTCTTTCTGTTCTGCGCCAGTTCCTCCCGGGGCTCGGCCGGTCGGTGAGGCTGTGCCTGCGCGAGGGTCCCCAAACTCGGCTGCACGAATCTTTTCTTTTCCTTCCAGGGCGCGGGGGGGGGGGGGGGGGGGTGGTTCCCTTCCTTGCTCCGATCTATTCCCGGGGAGCGGCACGTGCTGGTAACCGGCGGGCCCGTCGTCCCATATCAGCTCTTCCTCCCTTTCCTAAAACCGTAGCCTGGCCGGTTTTCGGAAGGAGAGCCACCGGTGCCCCCCTTTCCATAAAATCGGATGGACGCCAGGGACCCCAACATTACGCCTGGAAGTCGAACTGAAAGCATCCTTACAGTCCAGCAGGAGCAGCCTCTGATCCACCGGTAGCAAGAGCCCCAGGCAGCTCAGAGGCTGCTCCTGCTGCCTACATCTACTCCACCTGCCTAACCCTTACTAAATCTATTGACTACCGTGAGGGCACCTGTGCGCAGCCGGTAGTTTGTTTGCTGATGTGGTTGGTGAAGTGTAAGGGCATACTCACACACGCCAAGCAAAACAGCGTTTGCCGCTTTTCTTTTTTTCTTTTTCTAACGCTATATTCTTCTCTCAATTTCACCTCACATTACCTACCTACCACTACTCCTGATTGTAGGCATACGGGGAACCCCGTACCAGCCGGAACCATGTTCACGAGAGAACATGCAGACTCCGCTCAATGCCAATCGGGGGTTCCAGTGGTTTATCTCTAGGTGGCGGGCACCAAGCATGCCCGGGAAGGTACATGAGGCCAATGGGGATTGAACCCACGACCTCTTGAATGCCACTTGCGAGCCTTACCAATTGAGTTAGGCCACTGGATGAATTTGCCGCTTTTGCTACAGTCCGGTTTGCCATTTTGCTGTGTTGCAGAGTTGCACGTGAGGAATGCTTGAAATTCTCTTTTGTGAGCTCATAGATTCGGGAGAAAAAGAAATTACCACGGTGGTGGCAAATTGCTCAACCCCGTGGCCCTTCAGGCCGCTGACATTTGCCACACCAATTGCGAGTTTGATGGGCGGGCGGACAAAGTGTGACTCTAAAAGCATAGTAAATTTTGCAATTTTGCGAAAAAAAAACTCAGTGTGAGTGGACCCTAAGGTATTGATTATGTTGTGTTTATGTTTTGTCATGTTCCTTATACAAACCTCCAAAAGTGTGTATGTGGGGTTCCAGCTGATGTTTTATTCACGATGTTCATTGGACGTTGATGTTCATGGGACGCTGGACCCGGTGTCGGAGCAAATCCCCTTATAAGGGTATTTGCCCATATTTTTGCAGTTGACACAGCATTGACAACGACTATTCTGACAAAACTGGTTGGAAATGAAAGTGAATCGAGTGTCATTTAGGATGGAATCCTCGATCATTAAGGGCGAGGACATATGGATAAACGAATTTTGTCAAATAGTTGCATGTGTTGTCACCACGACCTCGAAGCCTCTGACCATGGTGGTTAAAAGGTTAGTCGAATAAAAGGAGTCACGTGGACCAAAGCAACGACAATATTCCGGGTTTGTAAGAACTCCAGTTGTATAACTTGATAAGTTAGTCGGCTCAAGTTCATGGACGACAAGTTGGTCAATATACATCATCAGTGATTCGTTCCGCCACATGACTTGAATGGGAGTTAACCTCGACCATGCAACCAGGGCAACCAAAAACTTTAATACCTACTCCAGCAGGGATGTGGCGGACAAACTTTGCTTAATTTTACCTATAAATGGGACTTAGGCTCATATTTATAGCCTAACTTATCCCCGATCCTCTACTTATAATTGAGTTACTTTACTTTTATTCGAAGTAGGAGCTAGCTCAGTAGGTTTAGGGGCGGACTGAAACGCGGAAGGTATAAGGATCAAGTTCATCCTACCTCTGGGTAGTTTTTTTTTTGTAAGAAACTTACTATGGGGGTTATTATTTCGCCTTGCCCTTACCTGTCAGGGTTTGAACCCGTAACCATTGGAAAAAGGATCGGTTGGTAGTACTAAATTTGGGCTTCGCTCCTAATAGGAGTCCGACAATTCGCTGCACAGAGCATATTAGAGTAGTTACACATTTTTATTGTTTTTTGGGGGCTAAAAACTGTTATTTTGTATTTTATTGCTTTCATATTCCACGAAAAATTTTTCAAACTATCGGCCTGATTAGTTCTTAGACCGTACGTAAGATTCATTGTCAGGAGGAAAGAAGACATTGCCACCGAAAACTATGGGAGCAACTAGTACGAGAAACGCTCCCCAACCAATCGAGCGTGTGAAGTAACGATTAATTTTTCGCTATAACATGGAAAGGTACCGGGTGACATGCTCGATGTCATACTGCAAATAATTATTTTTTAAATAGGTGAAGCAAAATATAAATGAATAAATATATTAACAAAGGGGTAATTTCAATAGAGTCACAAAAACGAGTTATAATTGCAGTATGGGGCAAGATACAGTTTCCAATTGCACTTGGGGCACCTTACCTGACCATAAAGTTGGGTTGTATACATTATTCGAACAACAAGTCGAAACTGTATCTTGGCCCATAGTGCAATTATAACTCATATTTGTGACTTCTGCCTAGTTTACCATTAATAAAAGTACGAAAGAAAGTTCAATGGCAGAATTCGGATATATACGAAGTCATGCCATAGCACATGAACCATTAGTACGTTCGCATTCGTGAACTGTAAGATATATTACTATTTTATTTATTTTCTTTTATTTCGCTAAAATACCATGAGATAAATCAAACCTTGTTTTCGATGCAAGGCCCTCCTAGCACATGAACCATCAATACATTCGCATTCGTCAACTATACGGTATATTACTATTCTATGTTTTTCATTTTATTTCGTTAAAATACCATGAGATAAATCAAACCTTGTTTTCGATGCAAGGCCCTCCTCACAAAGGTAGCAACTTATGAGATTGTACTCTAGTTGCTTCGAGTCTAAATTCACGTATTCGCCTCGCTCGTGGGAATAACACAGTGATAAATGCGTACAAAAACTGAGTTGGAGCGTGAATGTAGATGCAAGTCAGGGAGGCGATAGCAAGGCAAGCGAGACTGAGTGTGAAAGGGAAAAGAGCAAGCACGAGTATGATGACAAAGAATGCGATCGTGAGTACACATAGGATGGCATGACAAGTGCGAAGGGAATCGAGAGTATGTGTGACATAGGGATACAAAAATAACAGAGATAGAAAGCAAGCAAAGCATCAGGAAAGCAACACTCTTCTCTATGACCTGAAGAGAGGATTTGGCCACAATTTTAGTTTTTTACCCCTTGTTTTTTTAGTGGTATTACTAAACCCCGAACGTTCCATGCCACAATTTTAATGCTATCCATTATCAAAATTCATTATCGGTACGATCCGGTTGGCATCAGCTGCTAATGAAGATCTGTCATCGTACTGCAGGACGAGGGGGCATATGACCACTTTTGCAAAAGCATATGTTTTTCATGAAGATATAATCTAACATTTTGTTCGATGATCGTTTATCGTTGAGCCTAGATAAAAATTGAGTCAGAATGTCATGGTATAACATAATTTGTTCCAATTTTGGGTTGTTTCTCTTAGTTAAAATATTAATTAGAGAGATCAAACCATTAAGGACTAAGACTACAAAATTCATTTCCAAATTATATAATTTTACATAAAATTTATGTGGAGATAGCTAAAGGACGAGCCTAATGAAAACTGATTTGTTGAATCTCTATCTTGCTAATGTTATAATATTATTCGAAAGTGTTGACTCTTGCATTTCTTATGAATGAAAAAACAACAATTTCTTTTTGGAAAAGTCAAACCATAACTTGTAAGGAACGATTGACTAGAACACAAACAAAAAGTAACAAGTTTTGTTCCAATGTTTGAGCATGCAATCTACCAATGGTGACAGTCATTCAAACATGAATCAATTTTGCTCCGGACTTGGGATAACTAATGGCATATTTGACTACGCCTTGGAATCTTACGATCTAGCTATCGAAGCTTATGATCCTTTTGCTGCCTGCCTACTGATACCTTTTCTAAGCTCCATCTTCGTCTATGCCCTCGTGACCTTACGCGATGATCAACCACTTAAATTCTTTCGTATGTTCGTTGTAGCCCTGAGTACCAACTTCAGATCGAAGGGGCCTTGCCCCCCAATCAGCATAAGCCACTGGAAATAAACCTTAGGTCGTGAAAAATGTTATGTTGAGTTTGAAAGGCAGATTGTGGCCTAAACCCTTAATTATCAGACATTGAAATACCTTTCCCGATGTTGGAATGTTGATTCGACACGAAGCCTGACCAGGGGTGAACAGTTTGTTGATGAGGGTAAAATTCAGCCCCAAGTCTATCTCCTGCAGCAAAACCAGTCGGACACTAATAATAAAAAAAAGCGCAAAAACATATCATGCTGATTCGAAAATGCTTGAGCTTGTTCTGCTTTCATTTTCTGCCTTCCAACGCTTGAGTGACGCCTCGTCAATCCAAAGAATCTTGGAGCTAAGCCACTCTGATATAGTTTTCTCACTCCACTTCCTTGATCCGTTGAGCGTTGTGGAATCACTTATAGTTGTCTAACCCTCCGGTCCAATTTGTCTTTTGGACATAAAAGTTAATTCCCCGATGTTGACATACGCCTGTTTAAAGCCTGCACCTCCTCCCTGTTCTCTAGGGTTGCCTCCAACACTTCTCGTACATTCATCTTTCATGTGGAAGTAACTCATGCATCTTCTGCACCATGGCATTGATGAACATATCATCTTAAACGACCATTACTTGGCCCAACTATCGGTCGCGGTGCTTCCCCGTTAACGTGCCGCGACATTCTGGCTTCGGCCTACCGGACCGCATTGGCTGGAGGCCACAGCC